ATCCTTTGGCGTCTTTTTCTTCCACTCAACATAATGTTTTTGAAATATATCCGTGTTGTGTATATCTCACATTTGTTTCTTACTGCTGAAAAGTATTCTCTTGTATGAGAATCATCACAAATCATTACAATATGTGACCTTTTGTGTCTGATGTCTCTCTCTGTTTTGTAGAGATGAGGAACCAAAAGAATTAAAATGGAAGCTTGGAGAAGGAACTTGGGATTCGGAAGTGTCTAGAAGCAATATATGTTCAGATCTTGGCAGCAGCCAAAACGAACTATTTTGGGGCCACTGGAGTGGTCTGTAGGGTCCCTACCCCTGGGGCCTAAGTGGAGTTGGAATGAGGGTGCCTGATGATCTGTGTAAACTCTAGGATGGGCCTCATTTAGGGATGTGGGTAGTGTGTCCATATTTCCCTGAGAAGGATTGGTCTTGACTCTACCCTCAGTTTTTTGTTTTTTGTTTTTTTTAATTTTTTTTTTTTTAGACAGGGCCTCACTGTGTTGCCCAGGCTGGAGTGCGGTGGCATGATCACAGCTCACTGCAGCCTCAACTTCCCAGGCTCAAGTGATCCTCCCATCTAAGCCTCCCGAGTAGCGGGGACTACAGGTGCCTATCACCACACCTGGCTATTTTTTGTAGTTTTTCGTAGAGACAGGGTTTTGCCATGTTGCCCAGGTTGGTCCTGAATTCCTGATCCTTCTGCCTCAGCCACACAAAGTGCTGGGATTACAGGAGCAAGCCACCGCACCCAGCCTCATTCTCAGATATTTGCTGCTGTTGAGCTTCTTGTTTTTGCCAGATATGCTTGCATTTGGCTTTCTTGAGTTTTGCTCCAAGGTTTTTGAGCCAAACCTGCAGTACATCTGGATGTGTTTCCATTTTGGAGACCATATCTTTCTGAAGGCTGGGGTTTGGGTATGCGTTCTTACTGAACAAGTTCAGATCTTCCATTTGTTTCTCAGTGAACATAGTTGGTTTCTTTTGTGAAGGCCTCTGGG